TGCCAGGCGGAAGTGCTGAGGCGCCTGAGGGGGGGTGTGTGAGGGGCGGGTGTGTGTGAGGGGAGGTGCCGGGCTGGCACCGGGAGCCGCCGGGCTGAGAAGGGTTGTGGGGCGCGGAACCGGCCCCGCAGGTTCATGTGGAGCCGGCGGGGTGTGCGGGCCTCTCCGCCGGTTGATGAGCGCTCGGGGGGAACCGGCGGGTCCGGCGCCGGCCCGCTGAGGCGCCGCGGGGCCTGGAGCGGGGCGTGAGGAGAGCCGGTGGCCGGCCTCGCCGCCGCCATGCCGTGCACCTGCGGGAACTGGCGGCGGTGGATCCGGCCGCTGGTGGTGCTGCTGTATATCGTGGGGCTGCTGGTGGTGGTGCCGCTCTGCGTCTGGGAGCTGCAGAAGCTGGAGGTGAGGGACGGCGGGAGGGGGGGTGGCTGATCCCCGGCCCATCCGGGGCGGCCGCGGGGCTCTCAGGTGGTTGTTCGGCGGCCTTCAGCCCCGGGCGGAGACCGAGGGAGGAGAGGAGGGGCCGGAGAAGTTCCGCGGTGGGTTTTTGCGGTGCTGTGACGGTACGAACGGAGCCAGATGGAACGGGCCCGGGGTTCCTTTCTCCTTCCGGTTCAGTAACACCGGGCGCTTGATGCGCTGCTGGAGAAATTAAAAGAGTCGGTGTCTGTAGGGAGCTCTGCCCCTGCCCTGCCCGCAGCTTCTGGTTTGACACTGCCATTCATAGAATCATAAAATGGTTTGGGTTGGAAGGGACCTTAAAGATCATCCAGTTCCAACCCCCCTGCCCTGGGCAGGGACACCTCCCACCAGACCAGGTTGCTCCAAGCCCCATCCAGCCTGGCCTTGAACCCCTCCAGGGATGGGGCAGCCACAGCTTCTCTGGGCAACCTGTTCCAGTGCCTCACCACACTCACAGGAAAGAATTTCAATCTAATATCTAATCTAAACCTCCCCTCTTTCAGTTTAAAATACTTCAGGTAATTCTGAGAGGGAGAATTGAGGTAGTATATAGAGTAGCTTCTCTTCCATGCTGGTGGTATGTCTGTGGTGGTGTGATACACTGTAGTATGTCATAACAGTAGCACAAGAATTATGCACACGTGGGACAGCGAAGTTAAATTGTAACCTTAAAATATACATTGTCCAATTTAGCACAGGCTCGTCCCACTGGAGGTAAGACTTTTTCACGGTATAATCTTAAGCATTTAATGACAGCACAATCTGTCTTGAGGGTATTGTAATTTTCCTAATTTGAAACTCATGTGTTCAGCATAATGGATGTTTGTATCAAAGTGGTACCTGAAATTTTAAACTCGTTAAATCTGACAGTGGTAGAGAAGCTACTCGGAAGTGATCTTTGAAATGGAAAGCAACAGAAGATGTTGGTTGTTGATGTAGAGTAGGGGATCAGAGAAGAAATCTCTCCCCTCCCCCCAAAAAAAAACCCCAACAAAACAGTTTGAGAAGAGTTTACTGTGTTTTTCAGTTTGGGGTACTTAAGTTTATGAATATAGTTATTTTTCAGACAGCTTTGGTTTAAAATTGTAGCCATACTTGTATATGAATGCATATCTGTTTCAGATTGTTGAATGAAACTAGTTGAAATTGATTACTAGTTGGAACTTGGTTTTAAAGCTAAAAATACTTTAAATCCCCAAGCTTTGAGAAACTTGATAATGAAGCACAGAACTGAGACAAGTTCCAGACCTAAAGCAAAAGGGATCAGTTGTGGCTTTCAGTAAATGACATAGTGAGCGTTACCATGTTCTTAGTAGAACGTTTTGTGTTTATTGGTGGTGTCATGGTTTAGTTCTGCCAAATTCCTCGTCTTTTTCTTCTGAAGTTTTAAGTTTTACTCTAAGCCACATCAACAGATTGCAAGGGAGACTTTGGGAGTTTGTGTATCCGGGAGGGAGGGTTAGAAAAACTAAACGTAATATTGGGATATGTGCTTAATATGCTTCTTAAAACTTTATTCACAGTAAAGAAAAAGAAAGATAAATTCTTTTTATTGCTATACTGGTAAAACTTTAAAGTACTAATACAGAAACTTTGATCTTGCATTCTTCTTTTTCTTTGCCAGGTTGGAATTCATACCAAGGCATGGTTTATCGCTGGGATATTTCTGCTAATGACTATTCCAATATCTCTCTGGGGAATACTACAACACTTAGTCCATTATACTCAACCTGAATTACAGAAGCCAATAATAAGGTAACATTTCACATTTTGCCTGTGCTACAAATGTTGAATTTAATTCAGACTGAAAATACTTCTAGTAATATGAAATATTCTTTTATTATTGTAACAGGATTCTGTGGATGGTGCCGATTTACAGTTTAGACAGTGTAAGTGTTCTCTTACTGTTAACAGCTTGATAAATTTCTGTTTGCTGCTGGGGTGAGGAAAAACAGTGCCACAGTTAGCAGAAACTATGCTGCATGGAGAGTCGCAGTCCTAGAAACTTCTGGGCATTCCTATTTATGGAGTACCTCAGAAGCGTAGCTGCTGGCTCTTCTTATTAGACTCTTCTTGTGGAGCTTGTGGGATCACTTTTGCTAAACTGTTCTTAAACCTGTCCTTGAATATCCTTTGTGACAGATGTGGAAATGGGTACGACGAGCCTGCTTTTGGTCCTTCCATCTTCAGTAACAGCTGAACTGGAAACCAGACAGATCCAAGTAACTGTCTCAAAATTGAGTGCCTTTCCTTTCTTTCTGGAGTTAGGCTTAGCACTAAAATTCTTTCCTGAGTGCTAAAATTCTATCTTTTGCTTCAGGGGGCAAAGGGTAAGATCCCACAAAAACCCCACTTCTGAATACTTTTATGCAATAAAATTCTATTTGCCATACCAGGCACGGTTCCCAAATATGTCACTTGTAGGGGTGATTTCAGCCAGAGCTGGGCAACAAACATAACTAAATCTGTGGGCTGTACGGGAGGTGTGTTTACATGTTGTCACCACCTCTTGATGTTGCAAATGCTCCTGTTTCCCCCACAAGAGACAGCTTTCCAGGAACTTTTCCTTTGATTTTTCTCCCATCTCTTGAGTGTTTATGAAGTGTCACCCATGTATGTGTGTTCACAGCCCTGCTTCCCCCTCCTTTTTCTCCTTTTTTTTTTTTTTTTAATATTTTGAAAGACTAGGATTTAGAGTATCTGAGAGTGAGGAAGAAAACAACATGATCTGTTTCCTATGGGGAATATCTAGTGGGAGGTGTCCCTGCCCATGGCAGGGGGGTTGGAACTCTATGATCTTTAAGGTCCCTTCCAACTCTAACCATTCTATGATTTTGTGAATATCAACTACCTCAGGCTGATATTTCAATTTCAAGTACAGAAATTTCTTCTGGAAGAAAATTACCTGCTACTTAAATGAGCTCTAGCCAGGCGTTCAGAGACATTTCTGGCGTACTGAAATCTTTCCCCAGACTCCTGGATCTTACAGCCTTTGCTGCGTATGTGGCATCCTCCCAGAGTGCTTAATCTGAGCTGAACTTAAAGTTCTCTTCTCAGATTCAAATGCTGTGTTCTTGGTTTACTAGATGCAGCGTTACATCTTCCACAGAGTTGTTGCAGCATCTGTTATCTATAGTATTTAATTGTGATGTGGTTGTGAAGCATCTTCCTGTGTTCCTCTGGTCAGAGAAGGCAGAGCATTCGCTCTGCTACAACCTGGGGAAGCAAAGTAAATTCAAAAGGCCTGCCTCTTTAACCCATCCACCCCACCCCAAGAAAAAACAATGTACAAACCAAAAAAAACCACCCACCCAGTAGGACAGGATGCACTAAACCGTGCAACAGCAGTGTGATACTCAAAATCAAAAACTGAGAGCTCTTGACAGCTGACCCATAATCACAGTTTTGCAGAAAAGTCACTTTTTCTGTCTGAAATTCTGGTTTAGAGGGATGACTGCCGCTTTAATTTGCTGCTTTCTACTACATTTTGCAAACGCGCCAGACCAAACGTTTCCACATTAGACACTGAAAGAAATGGCAACAGCAGTGTGATACTCAAAATCAAAAATTGAGAGCTCTTGACAGCAGACCCATAATCACAGTTTTGCAGAAAAGTTGCTTTTTCTGTCTGAAATTCTTTTAGAGGGATGACTGCTGCTTTTATCTGCTGCTTTCTACTACATTTTGCAAACGCGCCAGACCAAACGTTTCCACATTAGACACTGAAAGAAATGAGCTTTGCATTGTCAGACTAAAATCTTAGTTCTCAAAGCCGTACCAACAATGAATATGTTGATTTCAGGAAACAGTTCTATCTTGTCTCCTCCTGACAGGGGCGGGTTACGGGTAGGGAACCATCTCCTTTTAGTTACTTCAAAATTAAAGACATGAGTTTTGTGGTCAAAAATCCAGAGCATCTCTGCGTGGTGCTTTAAGCATGTTTCCATTGGAAGCAGTGGAGATGTCATCTGAAATCCTACCAGCATTTTTACAGAACGTTACTTTCTAGCTGTACCATCGCACTCTTATTAGCCAAATCCTTCAAGCCCCGCTTAATTACTGCCTGCTGTCTAATGAATTATTGCTTGCTGAACTAGCCAGCCAGCGTTGCCATTGGAATCACTTGTTGTCTTTCTTGTGTGTAACCTTTTGTGTACCTCTCTTCTTGCAGTGGATAGCTTTGAAATACCCCAACATTGCAATATATGTGGATACGTGTCGGGAATGCTATGAAGCTTATGTCATCTATAATTTTATGGTTTTTCTTTCAAATTATCTAACCAACCGGTATCCAAACCTCGTATTAATAATAGAAGCGAAAGATCAGCAGAGACATCTGCCGCCTCTCTGTTGTTGTCCATCGTGGGCTATGGGAGAGTGAGTACATGATGACATCTTAAAATTTTAAGCTGTGTAATCAGATACAAAGGTTTTGTTTTCATATTTAGTAGTGTGGCTTGGCTGAGTCAGTTTAGGCTTTGCACACACTTTGTTTATCAACTATGAACCTCTTCTGAAAGCAGCTGTGAATATGTTTTCATCAAGCTGTAAATCATCCTATAAATTGCACTTAGCTTCTAACATACATTGGCTCAGGTGGTCCTGAAGGAATCTTTCTTGGATTTGAAAAATACTGGAAAAAGCTCCCCTTGAATTTGCTTCCTTTGTTACCATACAATATTTGCCCAAAGCCTCATGTAGAATCACTGGTGAGCCTGTTGCTTTTACTTCCCCAGGTGAAGGACAAAAGGCCATATGCCTCTGAACTGCTTGTTTCTGCATGCTTAATCTGATAAGCACCTCTCTTAAGAGATTTTAATAAAGCTGTTTAAAATGTTAAAGACAAACTATGGATGTAAGTCATTCTTAAATGTCTTCAGCTGCAGTGAAAATTGCGTGTTCTTTGTTTAGTCCATGGCTAAAAGAAGTGAATCATTGAGTATTTCCTGTTATTTATCTATAAAAGTCTAGGTGTTTTGTGTATTGCATATATACACACTATACACTGTAGCATTTAAGTCCTGGAAGCAGAAGTTGAAACTACCACGAAATAAAAATTCAGTTTAGTGAAACTGCTGAGAACAGGATATTTCCATAAGTGAATCGACTTTAAATTCTTATACAATGAATTTTGTGTTTCTCTTGCAGAGTTTTATTGTTTAGATGTAAACTGGGTGTTTTGCAGTACACCGTTGTCAGACCATTTACCACCATTATTGCTTTGTAAGTATGCCCATAAATAATTGATATTGATCTTCAGGATGTAATTTTGAGTTGCACTGGAAAGAATTTTCATGCCCTTTTTATTGAATCGACGCAGTTTGAAAGCAGACCGGTCGTGTTACACGCTAAATGGGTCCTGGCAATTTGAATCAACCCATGATTTCTTTATGACTTCTCTATAGAAAATTACTACTTGCAGGATTGAAATAATAAATACTTAATGCTTGATTCTGAAAGCAGTGGGAGAGAATGAGAAGTACTGTTTATGTGGGAAAGGCATTTTTATGATCTCTTAATTTTTCGAGTCTTTTTTTTTTTTTGCTTCTCCCTTTTCTCATTGGTCTCCACAATTGTGTATTTTTAAGTCAGGTTTTATGCAACTTTTAAAATTTTATAAAAACTTTGCAGGTGACAAGCTTGACTGTGTGCCTTCATACGTGTCATAGAACCGGTTGTTGTAACCTGTTTACACCTGTAAAGTACATAGTGATTAATTCTAAAAATTCTTTCAGAATTTGTGAACTAGTGGGAGTGTACGATGAAGGAAACTTCAGCTTCAACAACGCGTGGACTTACCTGGTTATACTTAACAACATGTCACAGCTAGTGAGTATCAGCAGTACATCTTTCTGCTCTTTTAAGTCATTGTATTAGTATTATGTGAATCTTTTTATGTGAACTATTGACAGTAATTTTGTTGGCATCTGGTTTCTGCTCTTTTAAGTCATTGTATTAGTATTACGTGAATCTTTTTATGTGAACTATTGGCAGTAATTTTGTTGGCATCTGGTAATTATGGAATTACAGAATCACATGGGGTTGGAAGGGACCTCTGGAGATCATCTAGTCCAACCCCCTGCCAAAGCAGGGCCACCCAGAGCCGGTGTCCAGGCAGGTTTGGAATGTCTCCAGAGAAGGAGACTCCACCACCTCCCTGGGCAGCCTCTGCCAGGGCTCTGCCACCCTCACAGCAAAGAAGTTCCTCCTCATGTTTAGGTGGAACTTCTTATATTCAAGTTTGTGCCCATTTCCTCTTGTCCTGTCCCTGGGCACCACTGAAAAAAGACCAGCCCCATCCTCTTGACACCCTCCCTTGAAGTATGTATGAGCATTGATCAGATCCCCCCTCAGCCTTCTCTTCTCCAGACTCAAAAGACCCAAGTCCCTCAGCCTCTCCTCATAAGGGAGATGCTCCAGGCCCCTCATCATCTCTGTAGCCCTCTGCTGTCCCCTCTCCAGCAGTTCCCTGTCCTTCTGGAACTGGGGAGCCCAGAACTGGTCCCAGTGCTCCAGCTGGGGCCTCCCCAGGGCAGAGCAGAGGGGCAGGATGACCTCCCTCCACCTGCTGGTCCCACTCTTCCTGATGCCCCCCAGGATGCCATTGGCCTTCTTGGCCACAAGGGCCCATTGCTTGCTCATGGTCATCCTGTTGTCCACCAGGACTCCCTGGTCTTTCTCCTCAGAGCTGCTCTCCAGCTGGTCAGCCCCCAAAATTCTTATGGGTGGAATATTTCCCACTGTAAGTGGGAAGTGTAAGTGGGGGGAAGAAGAGATCAGTTCCTCAGGTTTAGCCGTACCGTGGTTCAGTTGCTTGCAGTTGTCATTAATGGGAAACTTGTTCAGATTTGTGGGGATTTGTGGCATCTGTTGCCTCCCCTCTTGGAAACAGGCAACGTTTCAGGCGTTTTTAACAGAAGCCTGAAAGAAAGTGTGATTTTTGTGCCATTTTCTTTAGAAAAGATTTGGTGGGACCTTCCTGTGCTATGCTTTAGTGTGTAGATGACCTCAGTCTCTGTCTGCTAATACCGTGCATTTCAGAAATACAATTTCTAGCAAAAAAAAAAAAAAAAGAGTCTGCTTTAAAACAGTCAAGCAAAAGTTGTCATAAACCCAGAGCCTCTTTTCTAAAATAGGTAGCTTTTTAGCTTTGTATCGTACGGTGATATTTTTTTTAACTGAAGAGGTGCTGTAAAACAACTCCCTCATAAAATAAAGCTTTTCTTAATTTTCTTCTCCTTTTAGTTTGCTATGTATTGCCTCGTGCTGTTTTATAAAGTACTACGTGAAGAGCTGAATCCTATCCAACCCGTTGGCAAGTTCCTTTGCGTGAAGATGGTCGTTTTTGTTTCTTTCTGGTGAGTGAGTTATTTACTTACTGCTGCTTGTTCTCGGGATGGATCGTAAAAGAGCTAAAAAGGCTGGATTTGGTACTGAGGTTGGAAGCCTCAAAAAAATCTACCCAGACTCTTAGTGAAGTGCTGGGAGGGGAAAACGGTACTATTATGTTAAACAGAGCAGGATTGTTCCCTTCAGATTAATTTTTAGACATTTTGTAAGGTGATTCTCAAGAACCTAATTTATTTTAGAATCTTCACGTGCAGTTATTTCAAACCAAAAAAATTATTTCTAAAAAAAAAATTACTTTAACCTTTTCAAAATAAGTTCCTGTAAGTTACTATTTAAGCACTGCTCACAATTAGCTGCTAATGAGAGTGCATTTGACTGCCTGAAGATTACTCTGTGGGTTGCAATAGTACCCTGAATTCAAACCAAAAAAATTATTTCTATTTTTTTTTACTTTTAGAAGTAAAAAAAAATTAACCTTTTCAAAATAAATTCCTGTAAGTTAATATTTTAAACACTGCTCACACTTAGCTGTTAATGAGAGTGCATTTGACTGCCTGAAGATTACTCTGTGGGTTGGAGAGAAGCAACTTGTTCTAATAACTAACTGGAGCAAAACACTCTCTGGTTGTGTTCCCTGTTGGTCTTTAGGACCATGGATGAATGATATGTCTTTTTAAGTCTGTTTTGTTGTGGTTTTCCCCTCTTAAAATCTAAATATATAAACACTAAGTTTCTTATAAGATTCTTCCCTATGTACATACATATATATGCATACAAACAGGCCTTGTTTACCAGATTTGCTTGGAGATTTTGTGGCACTGCTGTTACAGTAAATAAATAAAAAACCCCCAATCTTTTTAGGCAAGCTGTGCTTATTGCATTGTTGGTGAAAGTTGGCGTTATTTCTGAGAAACACACCTGGGAATGGCAAAGTGTGGAAGCTGTGGCTACTGGCCTACAGGTAGGGGCAAACAATTACTTCTTAGGATAAATAAATAAAAAAACCCCAATCTTTTTAGGCAAGCTGTGCTTATTGCATTGTTGGTGAAAGTTGGCGTTATTTCTGAGAAACACACCTGGGAATGGCAAAGCGTGGAAGCTGTGGCTACCGGCCTACAGGTAGGGGCAAACAGTTACTTCTTAAGAGGAATCATAGCTTAGGAGGAATCATAGAATGGTTTGGATTGGAAGGGATCTTCAACATCACCCAGTCCCAACCCCCCTGCCCTGGGCAGGGACACCTCCCACCAGCCCAGGTTGCTCCAAGCCCCATCCAGCCTGGCCTTGAACCCCTCCAGGGATGGGGCAGCCACAGCTTCTCTGGGCAACCTGTTCCAGTGTCTCACCACCCTCACAGGAAAGAATTTCTTTCTGGTATCTCATCTAAATCTCCCCTTTTCCAACTTAAAACTGTTACCCCAGCAGGCAAGGGCTGATTCCAGTAGCTGTGGCTCCCTGAAGCCTGCTCAGAACATCCTACCTCTGGCAGAAAAGTAGATGCCAGTATCCCGAGGTGATGGCAGCCTTTCCCTTGTTTCTCCAGTTATCGACTCAATCCTTAATCATTCATATCTCTCTCCTTGCAGGATTTTATCATTTGTGTCGAGATGTTCCTGGCTGCCATCGCTCACCACTACAGCTTTTCCTATAAACCCTACGTTCAAGAGGCTGAAGAAGGGTCCTGCTTTGACTCTTTTCTTGCCATGTGGGATATTTCTGACATAAGGGCAGATATATCAGAGCAGGTTCGGAATGTTGGTAAGTAGCAGCCAGGTCTGTAAGATCTGGTAACAGCATATGTATTTTCAGGTTCATTTTACTCCATTTGCCATCTCTCTAGTACCTTGAGAACACTCCGTATCAAATTAGTGGCCACTGCACCCCCAGATGATTTCATGGTTTATCTGGCATTTTGTTCTTGCCGGTACTCCTGACTGATTTAGAGTCTAGTTTTTAATTTTTCTTTTAAGTAGATGGATCTCATATTAGTGGCCGCTGCATCCCCAGATGATTTCATGGTTCATCTGGCATTTTGCTCTTGCTGGTACTCCTGACTGATTTAAAGTCTAGTTTTTAATTTTTGACCCCCAGATGATTTCATGGTTTATCTGGCATTTTGTTCTTGCCGGTACTCCTGACTGATTTAGAGTCTAGTTTTTAATTTTTCTTTTAAGTAGATGGATCTCATATTAGTGGCCGCTGCATCCCCAGATGATTTCATGGTTCATCTGGCATTTTGCTCTTGCTGGTACTCCTGACTGATTTAAAGTCTAGTTTTTAATTTTTGTTTTAAGTAGATGGATCTCAGGGTAAGTTTCAGGTGCGATAGGTTAAAAGAAAGGGATGGCCTTTTTGTTGTGTGGTGCGTTTGGGTTTTTTTTAATGGAAAGACAATTTTATTTATTACATCTAACAATGTGCATGTAAAACTCTTGTAAAACATCATCTTCTGATTTAACGTGTCTATTTGAGTGTTGATGTGGTCAAAGACCTTGGTGTAGTGTTGGAAGTGCTGACAAGTCTTTTCCTTTGGCACGATTCCAGGAAGGACGGTTTTGGGCCAGCCAAGGAAAATGTTTTTTGCTGAGGATCACGAACAAAACGAACACACGAGTTTACTGTCTTCATCTACTCAAGACCCGATCTCTGATGCTTCTTCCATGCCATCTTCACCCATGGGTCATTACCAGGGGTTTGGACACACCGTGACACCTCTCACCACGCCGACAGCAGCCCCCGCGGTCGATGGCATTTATAACACTCCTGCCACGCGAGGCTCGGAGGAGTCACCCGAACTAGAGCACAATTCATCAGAGAAAGCTTTGGGGAAAAGTTAGACTGGCTTTTTTTTTTAATTTGAACGTCTCAAGGAGCCTGCTGTCTGCTGGCCACACCTCTCCTGGTGACGTGTAGTGATGAAAGACAAAAAGCTTGGAAAAGCTACTGCGCAGGGAGGAAGAGGAGGGTATGGCTGTAACTGACATCCCAGTTCTGAATTCCACAATGGAGGGGAGAGCCCCATGAGTATAAAACACGCACACCGTAAACGTTTCGGCTTAAATTTAAGAATCAACTCCTTTAAACTGCTAAACACTTAACACATCATGTCAAGATGACGCCGGCTTTTATTAATACAAAAGAAACGTTTGGAAAAAAAAATGCTCTGCTCTTCTAAAGGTGAGGCGTAAGTACTGCTGGTAAGGGGGAAAGTGAATGTCAAGAATGTAATTTAAGGCAGGCAGCAGCAAAGAAGTGTTAGTATTAGCTTTGGTTGTCCTCTTAATGATGGTAACTTCCATACCCCGGTGCTGAACGGGGTGTGGATGAAAGGGTAACTTCTGTACAGATGCCATCTTCTGCCCTTCCCTGCGTAGCTAAAAACAAAACCCCTTCATGAAGATGATTATTACAGAGCATCAGTAAAGAATCTACCCCAAGCAAGCATTCCCTGCAGGCCTCGCTCTCAAATTCCACGCTCAGAACAGAACGGTTGGCATTATCTGTTGTCCTTGTAGCTCTTAATTTGCAATTATGTCTTTTACATAACAGAAGAGACAGCCAGGATGATGATAGGTTTGGGAATAACACTTTACACTTGACTACTTTCTTCCTGTCCTTCTAAAATAACGGTTACTACCCTATTCTGGGCGGAGGGGAATTAAGGATGTCGAAGTAGAAAACAAAACTGATTTATTTTGGGCTGCAATAAATTCTTTAAGGCTTAGGGTTGTTTTTAAGCTGCTAAAGCAGGCTACCCTGACAATGTGTCCCTAGTAACTTGTATTCATAACTTTGTGTGTGTGTGTGTGTGGATATTGTATTATGCTTCTAGTATAGCCTGCTTTCAAATAGACGAGTTGATTTCATTTATTTTCCCCACCTACTGTCCCAGAAGAGACCTTTGCTGAGATAAAACTGAGTAGTTAGTCTAATACTGGAGTTACTGGTGTTAGATTTCAGACTGAGCATCCACACAAAAACTGACAAAACCAGAGGGGTATTGTTTTTATCCCATTACCAGATCTTTACTACTACTGCATGTTTGCAAACTGACAAAAAAACCCCAAAACACTAGAGCACTGACCTTTTCAGTGACATCTGAAGGTTCTCTTTCAGGATTGTTAGCATTTACAAGATAAACGTTTAACTTCTGGCTGTCAGGGTAAATTCATTTTAAGTGCTTTTTTTTTTTGGCAGTACTAGTGTGATGTAAATATTGCGCCTTACTCACTAGGCTGCGGGTTTTAGAGCTGACAGGACTTGCTGTATTTGGATTTAGTGAGAAAATGCAAATCATCATTTTCAATTTGCCAAGTCATTGCCTTTGTTGTAAATAATCAATTAAAGATTTTATTTAAACTGTTCACCTTCTTTCGATTTCATTTACTGCTACGGTAATTTAAGGGTGTGGATGACACGTGGATGCAACTCTCCTTTTTGTGGAAGGAGGGGATCTTTGGTACAACTTGTACAAGAGTTTGTGCTTTCTGTATTTTAAGGTTTGTGGTGAAAAAGGAATCCTTGTTTGAGCTCAGGAAGAATCAGAATCTACTTCTATATGCTTGATTGTAGGTATAACAGGTTGGTCAGCCTGGAGGCCCCAGCCCTGGAGACATTCAAGGTCAAGGCTTGATGAGACTCTGAGCGATCTGATCTAATTAAAGATGTCCCTATCACTGCAGGGGGGTTGGACTAGATGGCCTTTAAAGGTCCCTTCCAGCCCAACTCATTCCCTGATTCTGTGTACGCAGGTAGATAGGGGCCGTGGTAGAAATAATTCCTGAAGGATCAGAGCTGCTGGAAGCTACGGAGCTCCTGTGCTCTGGCTTTTCAAAAATCTCACAATGAGGAATTTTTTGTACAAAAATTTGTCTTTTTGGTGTAAAAGTTAAGCAGGGGACTTTGACCAGAAAACAACTAATTAAGTGTCTTGGTTGCTTCTTTCACAGCATTTCTGGAAAGCTGTTATTTTATTATTACTCTGTTATTCCATGTGCACAGTATTATTTATATTTTTTCTGGGAGAAAAGCTATTTTTTCACCACAGTATCTTCCAGGATCACACCTTTCCATTAATGATTATCACTGAATCTCCAAAAATAACCAGAAGTCTTTCAATGACACCTACCTTGGCTTTAGAAAACTCCAGCAGCATTCACAGCAGGACTTACCAAGTTTGTTTGCAAATGAATGTTTTATATTTGTATATAAATCTTTGTAAGATTGTTCTTGCCTTCAAGTGCTGCTTGAAAACTCAGTGGTCATTTTCAACTCTTTAGTCTCATTGAGTAAGTCTCATTAAATAGTATGTCCTTAATTTTTCTTTACATCATTTTACTGCCTTAATTAATTGCTAAAAAGCTTAATAAATAGGCCTAACCACTATTATTTACTGGGTTTGCCTTTATCAGCAGTCTTGCAGCACAAGGCACCTGAACACTTCTCTCTAAAACTGCACTTCGGTGAAAATAACTAAACCCAGTGGGTACAGGGTGTGTCACAGTAACTCAGATTTTTATGGATTGTGGTTTTTGTTTGTTTGTTTAAAAAAAGCTGTTTTCTATGTAGTATGAAAAGCCTCTGCCCTACTTTAACACGCTTATATTTTGTTATGGATTGTAGCCCTTGGATAAAGCCTGGTGTCCAGTTGTTTTACTTCCTGAAAACTTGATTTCATCCTTACCTCTGTTTTGGGAGAAAAAAAAAACCAAACAAAAACTGGAGACTTTTCTTCCACTCTTCTAGGAGTTTTATTACAGCAATTTATCAGGTGCATTATATTACCAAAAATGATTCTCTGCAGGATTCTAACAAGTTTACTCACTTGACCTTCCCCTGTACAACTTGAGTTATTCAACAGTGCTCCTTTACAACTCTTTACAATTATCTACTTGTGATAGTGCAACTGGAAGGACCTTATGGTCCCTACCACGAGGCTGATATCTCAGTACACACCAGGAGGATGCTGTGGGACCTGAGCAGCAGCACTACACTTGGAGAAACAAGGACTCTTAACCTCAAACAGCCTTTTTGAGCCGTTGGATAGAATTTAGACTTCAATATAAATTAACCTCCACAATGTTAGGAACAGCGCATTTGTGCATAGCTAATTAACCACCAATCAGTTAATCCATGCCCCTTCTTCACCGTTTCACTGTGATGCTGATATTGCTTTTATGGTGTTGAACATCCAGCACGAGTTCAGCCCCGACCTGGACGTGGATGGGCTCATCCAGAACCACCGCCGCTTGCTTCCAGTGGGAGAACTCATCAGATGTATCCAAGCTGTGCTCTTCATCCAGGTGGATGTGGTACCAGAAGGGAATGGCAGTGACTTGGCCAGACTTACAAATTTGTACCTAAAAAAATATTTAAAAGGAAGTAAGAAAATCACAGAATCACAGAATCTTCTAGGTTGGAAGGGACCTTAAAGATCATCTTGTCCAACTGTCAACCTCACTGACAAAAATAGACACCCACACAACAAACAAGGAGCATCATCACTAAACCAGACCTCCCAGCACTACATCAACCCGTCTTTTGAACACCTCCAGGGATGGGGCCTCAACCACCTCCCTGGGCAGCCCATTCCAATGGCTGACAACCCTTTCAGTGAAAAAATTTTTCCTAATATCCAGCCTGAAAAAAAATCAGATCAAACCGTTCCAATCCGTTTCAGAGAGATGTGCAGACAAGTCAATTCTGTGTTGATGGTTTTGAGCAATGAAGAAACAGCTCTGCAGGAGAGCAGCTCAGCACGCTCCTGACTTTCTGTCCTCACACAACTCACCTTCACTTCTCTGCTGGAGCTGTTCAACAAGGGGTTCATGAGATCCAGCCTCAGAAGCTCCACTGGCTTGCTCAAGGGGACACACGGCAGCGTGGAGAGATCCAAGTACACACGGACAGGTACCTAAGGGCACACACCGGAACGTCAGGCATCAACAGCCATTGAAAAGTTAAAAATTAAGAGACAATCGTAACGCCAAAGTTTCTATGGATTACAGTAATGCCTGGAAGAGACAGCCAAAATGCAAAATGCACCCCCACCAACTTCGTACCTTGAACTGGTTGATAAAAGGGGCTATATTAAATCCAAGGGTTGGTTCTGTTCCCTGAACAGCGCTCTCCAGTAGCAGAGACTCCGACTCCACGAGCATCCCGTACACCAGCACGTACTGGGGGAAAATCTGCCCTCCGCTGTGAAGCAAACATCTGGAAAATGAGAAGAGGTTTCACGCCTGAAGCCCATCGTTCCACAGCAGTGAGAGAACATTCATTACATTTAAGAAAGGCACACCAGTTCTTCCTCTGAAGTCAAGTGCTCAGAAGCATCTGAGTGGAGTCCTGGTGGGCAACAGGATGCCCATGAGCAAGCAATGGGCCCTTGTGGCCAAGAAGGCCAATGGATCCTGGGGGGCATCAGGAAGAGTGTGGAACAGCAGGACAAGGGAGGTCATCCTGCCCCTCTGCTCTGCCCTGGTGAGGCCCCATCTGGAGCACTGGGACCAGTTCTGGGCTCCCCAGTTCCAGAAGGACAGGGAACTGCTGGGGAGGGGACAGCAGAGGGATACAGAGATGATGAGGGGCCTGGAGCATCTCCCTTACGAGGAGAGGCTGAGGGACTTGGGGCTTTTTAGTCTGGAGAAGAGAAGGCTGAGGGGGGATCTGATCAATGCTTATAAATACTTCAAGGGAGGGTGTCAAGAGGATGGGGCTGGTCTTTTTTCAGTGGTGCCCAGGGACAGGACAAGAGGAAATGGGCACAAACTTGAACATAAGAAGTTCCACCTAAACATTGCACCTAAACACCCTGTGTTTGTCTTTCAGCGGTACCAGTTTGTTCCAGCAACAGTTTGACACGTGCATGAATCTGGGCTTTTTCAACCTTGCACTTAAAGCCACTTCAGCCGTTACTAAGATGCTGCCTACCCTGGGAACTTCTGACAGACCAAGAAATAAGATCTTCAGCGGTACCAGTTTGTTCCAGCAACAGTTTGACACGTGCATGAATCTGGGCTTTTTCAACCTTGCACTTAAAGCCACTTCAGCTGTTACTACGATGCTGCCTACCCTGGGAGCTTCTGACAGACCAAGAAATAAGATTTTCCATTCACATTCTCGCATACAAAATACAAAGAGGTCTATAAAAGTGAAAACTTGACGCTTTTTTCCTTTTTAAAAAAGATCCATGTATACAACGGTCACACCAGAAACACTCTGGGAGGTCCAAACTGTTCAGAAAACCAGCTTTTTCTGCTCTACAGAAACAAGATGACAGTAGTTTTGTAGTTAGAAGGAATATTTTCAAAAGTTTTCAGATAATTATGGATTCCCAGGAATACTTTTGTCCATTTATACTGTACCTGGATATTGCAGCCTTTTCCATCACCTCCTGCTGGATTAAACCTGATGTCTCTATAACATCCAAGATAATAATACTCCACAGTTTGTCTGATTTGGGTCTCTGTAGCACCACACTTTCATCTTCTAAGTGACTCAGCCAAAACTCTAAGGTTTCCTTGGGGAAATGGTTAGCCTCTGAGATGACATGAAGTGCTGCCTGGTGCTGTTCCTTCTCGATAGAACTGTAGGCTCTGACGGGTCCAAGTTGGCCAGCTATAACAGGGAGGATGGAGAAGCCCTCAGACACATCTAAAATGTACAAAGGATCAGGAGCCACGTCTGGAGAGCTCTTGGTTTGACCCTCTTGGTGCATCCCACTGCCATGTCCATCAACATCCATGGACTGCAAGTCCTTACGTGGCCTTAACGATGACAACACTCTGCCCATGGCAGCTTTGAAGCACTGGTGGTACGGCCCGTTGTTCAGCAGGGCTATCTCTGTGGATTCCAACACACACACTTGACTGGTGCCATCCTGTTTGTTAGTTGTCTGAAGCCCAGCCAGAGCATGACATAGTTCAGCCTCGTTGCCCAAACTCAGGGGGTCCTCTCTCTCGCTGACGTCCATCCCGCTCTCGGAAGTCAAAGGAGAAATCTTCTGGATCTTCAAGTAGCAGTCTTGGCAGCAAACTTCCATCGACACGCTGTCTCCGGGCTTCACCGAATAATCTTGGCAAAAACAGCACAGAAGAGTCACAGCAAGTTATTTCACGGCAAATATCAGCACCTTGTGGCTGCTTCACTTAAACAAAAACCCAAACAAAACCACAAGAAAAGCATTACCTCATTTCTTCACTGGTTGTTAGTAGCGTGTAGGAAAGAATTGCTCTAGTCTGCAGTTCACAAGCTGAAATTTACAACTGACATTTGCCTTAAACTGTCCCAAACTAGGCAAAACCTATTTATTCTCAACACAAGCCTTTCTATGATTAATATATATTACTTTTAAGTGTTCTGTCAACAGCAGAGCAGGACAAAGAACAGCCTGGTACAGAAACTGCTTTTGCTTTAAAATGTGTGCATTTTAATACCTACCTCCTGTAGACAAAGGTAAATTCATAGTTACACAGAAAACAATAGCCACGCTTTAGAAAGAGCAACTTATTCAAAATAAGTTTTACTGGGACATTTACAGTGTACAAGCTTAAGATGGTCTTTGGATACTCTGTGTGTGTTTTCTAAGAAAGTAAATCAACTGATACCAGACCAGAATTTCCAAACAGAACTGCTATAGTTTGGGAAATATTTCTTTCAATGGCAACAGAGGCTACAAATATCTCTTCCCTCTCCTATGCTTTCCACTGAACCACTCCATGGCACACCTGCCCCTGCTGTCTGTTATTTCTAAATCAGGAGGAGCTGTGGACTCTCTCAAGGGTAGAGAGATGTGGCTACACTAGAGAGCTGGGCAATTAACAACTCTGCAAAATTTAACAAGAGCAAGCACCAGATTCTCCAGCTGGGCTGAGGTGGAGACACACATCCTGGTTCTACATCCAATTTTGGGGACGAGATGCTGGAGATGGCAAGTAGGAGTCAACAGCATGGCCTGACAGCAAAACGGGCCAACCGTGTCCCAGGGTGCACCAAGAAGAGCAGAGCTGGCCAGCTGAGGGAGGTGACTGTCCCGCTCTGGGGCAGCCCCACCTCCAGCACTGTGTGAAGTTTTGAGGGCCTCAATCTAAGAAGGACATCCCACTGTTGGAGTGTGTCCAGAGAAGGGTGAAGATGGTGAAGGACTCGGGAGGAGTGGCTCAAGTTACTCACTTTGTTGGGCTCGGAGAAGAGAAGGCTGAGGGGTGTCCCCATCACAGCCCACAATTTCCTCACAAGGGGGGGGCAACGGAGGGGAAGGTGCTGACCCCCTCTCTCTGGTGACCAGTGATAGGACACAAGGAAATGGAACGAAGCTGCACCAGGGGAAGTTCAGTTTGGCCATTAGAAAAAAGGTTTTTTACTGAAACTGTGGTCGGTGGCTGGACCAGGGTCCCCAGGGAGGTGGTCACCGCACCAGGCCTGTCGGAGTTCAAGGACCATCTGGACAACGCTCTTAGTCATGTGGTTTAGCTTTAGGTAGTCCTGAGAGGAGCAGGGAGTTGGACTCAATGATCCTTACGGGTCCCTTGAGATACTCTAAGATAGTCTGTGAACTAAGAGAACGGAGAAGAGGTGAACAAAGATGTCCTGCTTTGAGGTAAAACAGAACTAATTTTCTGTTCAGTAATTTTACTTTTTTATCTGAGCCTCTTCTAACTAACTAAACTCCGAAATTAACAGCATATTGTTCAGAAACTGTTCACTCTCACAGTGATAAGACCTGATTATACCAAGGAATGGTGTGAGAGGCCCCTGCTTATACTCATTGCTGTAACAACCAAGGTCAGATAAATTCATTATGTGCCCCATTGGAGGGTTGGAAGCGGAAAAGCAAAGAGGGGTCCCACCTGTAGGGAGGAGAGGACAGGAGAGGTGACCCAAAACTGACCAACAGGGTGTTCCATCCCATCTGCCCCATGCCCAGTATAAAAGCTGAGGGATCAAAGGGTCAACTCTCCCTTCAATGGCTGATGTCAAGGAGGACCCTGTCTGTTCGTCTGCCTTTGATCCCAATCCGAGCATTCCTGACTCCAGATTTGGAATCCACCTCCTGACCCCCTCTCTCTGGTGACCAGTGATAGGACACAAGGAAATGGAACGAAGCTGCACCAGGGGAAGTTCAGTTTGGCCATTAGAAAAAAGGTTTTTTACTGAAACTGTGGTCGGTGGCTGGACCAGGGTCCCCAGGGAGGTGGTCACCGCACCAGGCCTGTCGGAGTTCAAGGACCATCTGGACAACGCTCTTAGTCGTGTGGTTTAGTTTTAGGTGTCCTGAGAGGAGCAGGAAGTTGGACTCAATGATCCTTACGGGTCCCTTGAGATACTTTAAGAGTCTGTGAACTAGGAGAACGGAGAAGAGGTGAACATGTCCTGGTTTGAGGTAAAACACAACTAATTTTCTGTTCAGTAATTTTACTTTTTTACCTGGGCCTCTTCTAACTAACTAAACTCCGAAATTAACAGCATATTGTTCAGAAACTGTTCACTCTCACAGGGATAAGACCTGATTATACCAAGGAATGGTGTGAGAGGCCCCTGCTTATACTCATTGCTGTAACAACCAAGGTCAGATAAATTCATTATGTGCCCCATTGGAGGGTTGGAAGCGGAAAAGCAAAGAGGGGTCCCACCTGTAGGGAGGAGAGGACAGGAGAGGTGACCCAAAACTGACCAACAGGGTGTTCCATCCCATCTGCCCCATGCCCAGTATAAAAGCTGAGGGATCAAAGGGTCAACTCTCCCTTCAATGGCTGATGTCAAGGAGGACCCTGTCTGTTTGTCTGCCTTTGATCCCAATCCGAGCATTCCTGACTCCAGATTTGGAATCCACCTCCTGTCCATCACCGAGCCCAGTCTGGGACTTTTCCCTATGCCTGTTGGTGATGGGATCATCATCCTGGGAGCTTGATACAGTTTTGTATATACTGTACACATTTTTATTTTATTTTACATTTTTTTTCCTTTTTCTTCTTCTTCTTATTTCATTATTTATTTATATTTTCATTAAAGTAGTTTAGTCTTTCTCTAAACTCATAATTTATTTTTTTTATCCCCCTCTTCCTCTCTCTTTTCCTTAGGGGGGGAGGGAGGGAGGGGCCATCTGTCCTTCTGGTTGGTCAATTGGGTCAAAACCACGACAGATTTATTGGTGCCCAACGTGGAGCTCGACTGTGGTACAACTAGAGCTCTGGTAGGTTGTCTGAATAGTTGGAATTCCAGTTTGCTCAGAGATGAAAACAGACAGCTTACATTGGGGTCAAAACCACGACAGGAGAGCAGAGGCTGCTGGAAATGACAGTGGGGGTGTGGGGGCTGTGGAACAGTACTCTCACAGGGATAAGACCTGATTATACCAAGGAATGGTGTGAGAGGCCCCTGCTTATACTCATTGCTGTAACAACCAAGGTCAGGTAAATTCGTTATTTGCCCCGTTGGAGGGTCAGAAGTGGAAAAGCAAAGAGGGGTCCCACCTCTAGGGAGGAGAGGACAGGAGAGGTGACCCAAAAGTGATCAACAGGGTATTCCATCCCATCTGCCCCATGCTCAGTGTAAAAGCTGAGGGATCAAAGGGTCTCTCTCTTCCTTCAATTTGGCACCCAATTGGAGCTCGACTGTGGTACAACTAGAGCTCTGGTAGGTTGTCTGAATAGTTGGAATTCCAGTTTGCTGGGAGATGAAAACAGACAGCTTACATCAGCTTACTTTGGGGTCAAAACCATGACAGGAGTAGAGGCTGCTGGAAATGACAGCGGGGGTGTGGGGGCTGTGGAACAGTATTCACAAGTTAGAGCCCAAAATGGAGGTGAGGGGCAGGCAAGAATGTTTAGTTTTGGTTTTCTGGCAGTAGCAGCTACCAATTCCTACCTCACCACCCCCTCCTCCCTTCCACGAGTCACACCCTGACTAAGTGGGGCCAGTTAGCAGCCCCACTCCTTGGAGCTGCTCCACAATGCATTCAATTCAGGATAGAAACAAATCAACTTAAGGAAAAGCATTCTCCCAGATCTTAAGCAGGTCCTTTATCTGCTTCACAGCAGAGTCACACAAACAAGACCTGTGCACTACAGTCCAGAAACCTGCTCGGGAACCACCTCACACCTACTTGCTGTTGAACTTTTCACAGAATCATGGAATTGTCAGAGTTGAAGGGACCTCTAGAGATCATCTGGTCCAACTGTCCTGCCAAAGCAGGGTTGCCCAGAGCAAATCACTCAGGAGCATCCAGCCGGGGCTTGAAGATCTCCAGAGAAGGGGACTCCACACCCTCCCTGGGCAGCCTCTTCCAGGGCTCTGCCACCCTCACCCCAAAGAAGTTCTTCCTCAGATTTGAGTGGAACGTCCCATGTTCCAGTTTGTGTCTGTTGCCCCTCGTCCTATCGCTGGAAACCACTGAAGAGTCCAGCCCCATCCTCCTTCAACTCACCCTTTAGATACTTATAAATAAGGTCTCCCCTCAGCCTTCTCTTCTCCAGGCTAAAGACCCCCAGCTCTCTCAGCCTTTCCTCATCAGGGAGATGCTCCAATCCCTTAATCATCTTCATTGCCCTACGCTGGACTCTCTCCAGCAGTTCCCTGTCCCTCTTGAACTGGGGAGCCCAGAACTGGAGGCAGGATTCCAGTTGTGGCCTCACCAGTGCAGAGCAGAGGGGGAGAATGACCTCCCTTGACCTACTGGCCACACTCTTCCCTGTGCAGCCCAGGATTCCATTGGCCTCTTGGCCACAAGGACACATTGCTGGCTCATGGAAAGTGTGCTATCTACCAGGACTCCCAGATCTTTCTCCTCAGTAGTGCTTCCCAGAAGATCCATCCCTAACCTGTATTTCCTACACCTAATTGCTGCCATCTCCTAGTCTCTGAGATAACCCAACCAGCTCAAAACCAAAATGAAACCAAGTGTATTAAACAAGAAAATCCCCAGGACGTACCGAGGAGGCCCTGCACAGGATAGACTGCCTGTTCCCAGCACGTTTCCTCACTGGGACTCGTAGACAGAGCGTGCTCATCATCCAGCTGTAGCACAAACCACACCACAACAGCATCTAGCACTCCTCCTTCAGTGACTGGCAGGCTGAGCTTCCAGGGCTTTCTAGCTGCAAGGCTTTTCAGCTCCTGACCAGAGTGGAAAGAAGGGGAAAAAAAGCATGAGAGCGTTTCTTTCCATAAATAAAAGATGGTTTTTATTACACTCACTAAGTCACTACAACACCAATTATCATTAGCACTCGTTAGCACTGGAGCTGTCGTTCCACACACAAGTGCAGTTACACACATGACCTGTGCCCATCAGCCATTAAAGCAAACACACCTACATCTAAAAACACACTTATTTAAAAACACTGAAAACCACCAGAAAGGCTTCAGCCTGGCAAGGCTTACCTCGTGAGAGTAAACAGAGCCAGTCTTTTGGGCTGGATTCAAGCCAATGCTGAGGTACATACCTCACTCAAAACCTGCATTCAATCAGCTCTAGAAATACTGTACCTAAGCACTGAATTCACTTGACCACAGGTTTGGCAAAATCATTACAAAAACACCAAGTCAAACATCTTTGAGGATATTTTCTCTGTTACCTGGGCGTTGTGTAAAAGCTCAGGCATGTACCATTTCCTATTGGGAAGAACCACGATCTGCCCTAAAGGAATCAGGTTATAAATTCTCCAATACTCCTAAAACATTCTGAGTATGTAATAGGAATTAGGTCTTTTTCCACATAAAATCTATTTTTCTCATTAATTACCTTCTGTTAACTGACAAACATAAAAGGCCCAGCTCTACTGTAGATAGTTCTGGCATAAACCAAGTAACAGTAGGTCAATCACAAGGGACCAAAGATTCTCTAAGTCACAACCTTTCTATTTAGTAACACAACGGCCTTGCCTTAGCATTTATCAGCTTCCTGATCTGCTAACGTCAACATTTCTCCTCACTAAGTTTCCATCTTAAAATACACAGGGCAAAAGAAAAGTTCCACTCTCAGAGTAGCTCCCACACACTGCATTTTTTTATTATTTCCCTCTTTATTCCCATTCTCTCTTCTCCCCAGAGTTGCTCTACCTCTCTTCTCACAGCTGAGAGATGTCTGGACAATGCGTCAGTGTGTCAGAATTACTGGATGCTAATGAAGTTCATCATGAGATCTCACTGCTCCTCAATAAAAATACTTTGCTGCTAGTCATTTTTTCCATATGTCCTCAACTGGAGAAAAAGAACAAAGAGTAGGAAGCTGAAGCTTTGCTGGCAGTATGCCTCTTGAAGCAAGACAGCAAGAGCAAAAGCATGCATCTGTTTCTCAGTTTCTGGAAAGTTACAGCTGTTTAGAAGCGTATTTTATATTAACAATATTCTTCCTGATTATTCCTTAAAAGCAGCAGGCCCAAGGTTCTCATCCACTAGTTTAGTAAATGCAGTGTTACATCCTCATCTTGTGGCACACAACACCTAAAACCCACTTGAAGGCAGTTATTCCAGCCTTCTCCACTCTCTGTCACTTATCCCGTATTTATTCCTGATGTTTGTCCACTGCATAAAACTTTTTTTTCTATTATTTATGACAACTACAGACTCGAACAGCTCTAGCCCATCAGGATGGCAATTTATCAACCACTGTATCTAAAGAGGCAACAAAGAAAATAAAGCAGTGATGCAGGAGTAGGTATGGAATTATGCTATGCCACATATATCCTCTGAATAAAAAGAGATAACTTGCATTAAAAAAATATAAGGAAAAACTCCACAAAAAACGCAGTTGTTAAGTTTCCTATCCCTTAACTCAAATTTTCTCAAATATTCCACACGGTAACCTCTCGTTAAAATTAGGAAGAGCCAGTGTGTGCAACTGTTGGCAAGAGCTCAGGTCCTCTAGGGCCTGAAAGCGAGACGGAGCGTTAATTACTGGCTGCTGAGGTAAACACTCACTTCCACTCCCAGTAGCCCTGACCTGCTGCCAGCAAACACGCACCCAGGTACTACCTGCAGCCTGGAATTACAGCCACATTCCCCTGCCTGCGAGCAATCAGGCTGCTAATAATAATAGCAGTAATAAAGTCATTGGCATAAAACTCAGCTGCTTTTTTTTTTAAGATTTTGACTTCTTATCATTATTTCTCTGATGCCTGTGAAGCCTCCTACACCACAGTTTGAGAAACGCTGTGTACTGTATTTTAAGACTTTTTCTCAGGTTTGTCAGTTTAGGTCTGGGTAGTTAGTACAAGCAGGGCTTTTTTTTTTAAGATTTTGACTTCTTATCATTATTTCTCTGATGCCTGTGAAGCCTCCTACACCACAGTTTGAGAAACGTTGTGTACTGTATTTTAAGTCTTTTTCTCAGGTCTCTCAGTTTAGGTCTGGGGAGTTAGTGCAAGCAGATAAATGCAAAATCCCTCTCATTCTTTGAAAATGCAAAAATCCCTCTCATTCTTTGAAATACAAGTTTAGAAAACAGGTCTTTGAAATGACCTCACTAGCATTAAGTAACCTCATATCTGAATTTCAATATTTAGTAGGTAATTCTGCTACTGTCTTTAAGTATAGCAGAGCTTTTTATCCCAATAGAAGCAGAGACATTTTTTCTTTTTTATTGTTCACCTGCACAGATTGAACATCCAGGTGTGGCCACGACAAAAACAAACAAACCTCAGGTTGAAACTGATGTTTGAAATCCACAGTTGGAACTGCCTTATTTGCTCAGTGAAAAAAAGTGACAACAAACAGTAACCAGTGATTCCCAAACAATTAACTGCATCTCTTCCCTTTACCCCCACTTATCATATCTTACCATTTCACGACAGAAATATTCCCTTAGTCTAACTGAAACTTCAACGGCATGGTTCTGAAACACCATTTAAAGAGTAACACTGTTTTTTCACTCCTTTAAATTATCTTTACATCTCCAGCAGGCAGATACTTAAGAGTAGGCATCTCAGATGACAGCAATAATTTCTTATTGATGCTAGAAGCAGAAGCAACATTAGGTCATGGAGAGATGGCTCCCAGCAGTACACTGAAAAGCCTTGTCTTATTTCATTTTTAATCTCAGGATGTCAGACGAGCCAACTAGGAAAAAGCTATTGATTCAGAAACGCTGCAATTCCCGGCCAAGCAGTAGCCAGGAATACTTTATATTTATATAACAGACTCTATTTTTAGCTCTGACTCAACACTAACTCCTCACCACAGGTCAATGAGCAAGAAACACACCAGACATCAGATGTACCATCTTTTTAGCACGCTCAGCTGCGAGTGGCTGAGGTCCTTGCCTTACAATTCAGGCCTATTTAGTATATGTACACAAAGGGATTTTGTGCAAAACACACAAAATAATGCTACCATATTCCAGAGTGCCATATTACAGAAATACCATCAAATACCAAAGTGGAATCAACCTGATTAAATATGGTAATTTCTTCATCTCCCCTCTCTTTTATGCTTACCCATCAATGCTTACAGACATTTTTATGTCAGATGTAAAATAATTTCTTTCCAGAGTTTCTTGAAGACTCTAACTTTAGAGGAATAAACTCAGTCAGCTTCACAACTGCAGAAATCATTAAGATGGGTCTGTTGCATTCCTTCTCCCCCTCCCTGCTCTGAGGCTGGCAGTTGTTTGATCCCTTGGTGAGCTAATTTAGTGCCCTAAACAATGTCAAACAAACAAAAAACTCCACCTCCAAAACTGTCATCTGATGAATCACATCACCACACAACCAGAGAAGTATCCCAACCAGCAGAGGATTTCAGTGCAGCCCTGCCAACTTTGCACTCGTGAACTGTTCTGAAACCAAACCCAGAAAGCAAATAGGATCTGGGGCTCTCATTATTCATAAATAGATTACTTAAAAAGGACATTAAAAAAAATATTATTACCTGCAGATTGTTGAAATCTACTGTCATGACTTGACAGGGTTCTGTCAGAGGTATGTAACCTCCAGGAATACGACTGAGCTTCTCAGTGGTGTAAGGTTCAACAGTTTCCTCTGAACCAGCAGAAGCATGTGTTGGGCTAAAGAATTGCACTGAATCTGGCAAATGGACACCAGCAACTTCTTGTGTTCCCACTCTGGGAGTAAAAGAGAAAAAAAAAAAAGGGGGAAGAAATGAAACCACAAATAATTTGACCAAAAAAACCCAAAGGAAATTCTTCCCAGGCTTAGCATTTTGAAATGCAGAGAGTGTAAGAATGGAAAACCTATAAAAAAACCAGAAGAATTTTGTGGGATTTTTGTCAGAGCAGCTCTACAGCAAGAAAATGCACATCTCTTTCAGGAATCAGAACTGAATGATGTCACTAGAAACTGAGAAAAGGCTCAGCATGTCCTTTGTCAAAGGCCACAGACTTTTGCCCCTGGAAGTACAACTCCTGGAGTCTTGACAGAGAACTAGAAAGAAGAACATACTCACAGACTTTTGCCCCTGGAAGTACAACTCCTTTAGTCTTGACAGAGAACTAGAAAGAAGAATATGTGATAATAAGAGCAAATAAAGCTTTTCTGCCACTGCATTAGATAGAGCAAATAAAGCTTTTCTGCCACTGCATTCGATAGACAATGAAGGTGTTTCTTTCAGGTGAACAGAACAGTCAGAACAAAGACAAATAGATATGCAATAAGAGAATTAATTTTTGTAATCTCTTTGATGTAAAACTTCCATTTTGCAGTACTGCTATGTATTTATCAGGCACAATAAGGCATTTTTCACAGTTACACTCCATTTTGCAGTACTGCTATGTATTTATCAAGCACAATAAGGCATTTTTCAGTTACAAAGCTGCAAAGAAAGTCTTAGAGTTGATTCCTCGGCTTTGACAATTCAGAGTACGCGTATCCGCTGCAAAGAAAGTCTTAGAGTTGATTCCTCAGTGGAAAAGGCTTTGACAATTCAGAGAGAATTCTTACAATTCTCTTGTAAGACAGAAGATCAATTAGGTTTCTAGAAACAACCTTATACAGAAAGTTTCAAAGAAGAAAGAATGCTGTAACTGCTTTAAAACAACTACTTACCTACACTGTCCATCTCTTAGGTTTGAGCACTTAAAAAAAAAAAATATTCTCAAAGTACAAGTCAGGAAATTGCATGAGACAAACCTTGCACAAGCTACACTTCAGCTTACTCTGAAAAAGTACATTTGTCTGTGAAGGACTTAGTGCTTCCCAGCTGAAGTGACAGCTATCAATAAATCTGCATTCTTACAGTGAGATCTGGCACTCAGAAGTTCAAATGACAACTAGTTAAATTTCTCTTTCTAGAACCACTTTTAATTCTGAATCACTTTCTCAGGAACCTGCAATTAAGTATGACTAGACAGGCTCTGACAACGTTCTCATCAGATACAGTCATCCCCTTGAGCCAGAGAAGCTCCCAACCACACAATTGGATAGGCTGAAAAATCCATAACCTGGATTTTTAGGCTTATATAACCTGAATAATATATAACCTTAGGCCTCATAGCCTGAATTTTCAAAGAAAAACTGCAACTAAAACAGAACAGCTGCTGTATGAGGCCTATACTGTGGAAGAGGTCACCAGGTTATTATATTGTCATGAACCCTTCCAGTCTGAATACATAAGCACAGAAGCAGAGCCATTACATTGCCTCTATTTCTGGGGCCGCTCCCAACCACACAATTGGATAGGCTGAAAAATCCATAACCTGGATTTTTAGGCTTATATAACCTGAATAATATATAACCTTAGGCCTCATAGCCTGAATTTTCAAAGAAAAACTGCAACTAAAACAGAACAGCTGCTGTATGAGGCCTATACTGTGGAAGAGGTCACCAGGTTATTATATTGTCATGAACCCTTCCAGTCTGAATACATAAGCACAGAAGCAGAGCCATTATATTGCCTCTATTTCTGGGGCCCATCAACTAAAATTACACATTGAAAAAAAATATCTGAAACCTGAAATTCTCACAACTTTGTCAGTTCATTTGTTCTTCTGGAAGTAAACACGTTTCATATGGATGTGAAATAACTGCTTCAAATTGAGTGCAATGACTTCAGGAGAAAATGAAAGCTTACCATAAAAAAAAAATATATATATCTATTACACACCACCACAGAAGAGTTAAGCCCTATAGTCGTTTCAGGGAACACAAGCAATAGGCATAAGCAGCACCAGCTGTAAAGAAACATTATTACTTGATGTTTTAATGATAATTGTAAAGCTACAATAATGGGTAAAAGTTTTTGTAAAGTTGGCTTAAGTGCATCAAAAATAGAGTCACAATAAAACTGGTATGATTTATCTAGAATTTCACTATACCCTATGAAAAAAGACCCCTAAAAAACAATGAGAGCACAAGAAATGCAGCATAACTTCAAATTGCTAAAATAAAGGGACAGAATTCAAAGCAGAAGGTCAGATCAGATACAGATAGATGACTGTGATACGCAAGACTATCAACAGTTGAAGTGAAGGGAGATTCAATCCCTCAGCAAGATGAATCAGTGTTAAATGATGGATTAAACACACTCCTGAATGTACCTGAAAAACCCCTCAGGTATTCATCGATTCCTGGATGCTACATCTACTTATAACCACTCAAAAAACCAAAATTAAATGAGGAGGAAAAGCTCAGAGAAAATCTGTATTAGTTGTATAAAACAGAAACTGTGCTAGATGATATAAAAAGCATCAGAAAAGAGAGTCTTTTGCACTGCAATTTCATTACACATCCTCCTCAGAAAAAAACCAACACATCAAAACCCCCAAGTTTTGCTGTAGATCATGAAAACACTTAAGGAAATGTGGGGATATGCATATCAGAAGAATTCAAAGAGATCTGGGTATTTTAAATCTGAGATTAGGCAAGTGTTTCACATAAAGCTTAATAGCACTTGTTAAAATAGATTTAAGACAGGTATTCTTACTGGAGGAAAAAGGGATGTCAAACTATAAAGGAAGGAAATTTAAAAGTGACTTTTTTCTTCTCCCTACAGTGTATAATTAATTTGTGGCAATCATTTCACTCCAGCTAGCCACCTGACCTTAAGCTATACTATTAGAATAGATTGTTAATTCAACAATCCAAAGCTACAACACATTAACTTTCATCTTGTTTACATTTTGTAAGGAATGAAATTAATCCTAAACAAAATAAATGAAGTCCAAACCTCTCAGACAGATACTGTCTCCATACCGTGGTTCTAGAATTTGAGGAAAAAAAAAGAATATGAAAATAACTGATCCACAGTCAGAACTGGTCTGAGCAAAGAAACCCTACTATATGCTAGTTCAGAATTAAGCAGAAAAATAATGCTAGGTGGGATTATTTTAGGCTTTACAAAGTCCTGTCCTCATCTTTTGAAAGGGTTAGATACAGCAGCAAGGTATGGAGCAGATCATAAAGAGGGTAAACCGAAGGAGGATAAAGGCCAAGCGTTAATCCAAGAATCTCCAATACAGAAATTGAGAAGTAATTTTACTATTAAGGAATTAAATTTCTTTAGCATGACTTAAAGGCATGTATTTCACCATAACTGAAAATCAGGAGTTTCTAATGAAGTGATCCAGAAAGTCTGAACCACAAAGGGGAGGGAAAAAACCAACAAACAAACGAGCCTGGAAAAAGGGTGGGGAGGGTGAGAGCAGAAATGTGTTTAGTGAAAACAGATAAATGAGCTATTAAAAAAAAAACAAAACGAACAATAAAAAGTCCTCCATAAAAACCACCAGTCTCTCTTCCCAAATAATAAATACAGGTTCAAACTGTGCTAGAATTTAAACATACCTGTGATGTCTACGTATCTCTTTGCATTCCACTGCCATCCCAAAAATTGTAGCACTTGCAGGAATGACTCTGCCATAGTCTCCAGTGCTGCCATCTTCATTTTTAGGCTGTGAAAACATGAATAACAACATGCAATGAGATAGTGACCTATTTCTACCATTAAGGCAAAGCACAGGTTACGTATTAATAAGCCATTAAATACTACAGCCAAAACATCAGTAAGTTCTTAGTGACTAGTAAAGCTCCTGCTCTTAGTCATTCCAGTCGACCCTTAAAGGAGTTTCTTAAGTACTGTTTCAATATATCCATGCATCAGCTTTACTTTTCAGTCTACTACTACTTCTGCATAATTGTAAAAGTGTTTTTTAAATTTATATTGTTAGAATATATTGAAACATTTGAGGACCTTTCCTGTATGCATCATTCCTACACTTAACACTAGAGGTCATCAGTTTGTTCAAGACAATACAAAACGCTTTCTGCCAATAAGATTTTTTTTTAAAATGACTTGGAATCAATGCAACATCAAAATAAAAGCAAAGTCCTTCTATTTCATAGAACCTAACAGAGGTTAACCCATGTAAGACTCCTTGTCACATTACTTTGCTTAATGTATGCTAGCTAAAATGCAAAAATACATAAAGTAAAATCCAAGAGCCCCAGTGGAATTGTTCAGTCTTCCAGAAAAGTTCCACAGTAGCAAAAATAAATTAAGAACATAAGAATATGTTTAACAAATTATAACTGACTCTTCTCTAGTGTTATGATGAGAAATAATTCTACCAGAATTCAGCACTTTCTGCTCAGACTGACACGACTTTCTGCTACTAGCTGCTGTCTCAAAATGACCGGGCTGCAATCAAACTTAGAGGAGAACAGCACCTTTAAAACACAAACAAATCCCTTTGGTGTTACCTACAAAGGGGAGAGGGAAGTAAAGAAGGAACAAACAGTGACCAAGGCTGAACCATCTCTGTATGCTGGAAAGCTAATAAGGAAACACAGTACCTGGTCTACTCAGAACATGAGCTCACAGATGTATGTGTGCTTTATTGCCTTTCACCAAAATCACATTTACAGAAGAAATCCAGATCACTCATTTTTAAAATATATAGAGGCATAAAATATTTACAAAACAGTTGTTCCTCATGCACATGTGCATGAACGTGTGCACATGCACACCCACATTTCTGCAGAAATACATACACACCAACACAGGAGTCCCCTTTACACACGTGTACCCACACCACTTACCTTTGGTTGTAAAAGTAAATGTTCCCAAGCGTGTATCAAGCTCTCCACAATCCCCTCTCCAAATAAACCAGCATCAACTGTTTCTGTGACAACCAAGGAAACCCTAGATGACAAAAAGGACACCGTGAAATATAACACATAACAAACATTCCTGTTAACAAAACAAAAACAAACTCCACACCAACATGAGCTCAGATCAAAACTTCCACCAGCGTTCTAAAGTTTCAACGGGCAATTTAAATCTTCCAACAAATGACTTGGTTTGAATTGTTGTTAGAAGTTATTCAAGATGCAGATATAAGAGAATAAATATTGAGCAAGAGTTTACCATAAAGCTTCTTCTTCAACGTTTATAAATACATCGTGTGGGAAGAATCTAGCCAAAACAGGAAGATGTTTCAGCCTGGGCACGCAGCCAGTGATGCTGCAGAATATGTATTTTGTCTGAATCTTGTGCAAGAGATCCATGCATGTGTTAAAAAGGAATTAAAAAAACCTCAACAACCTATAATCAAAGCACCCCAAAATTACCATGCAGACTCACAGACGCCCAAAATCCTAAATCCTTTGAATTAAAACCAAAAAGCACACAGCATGATAAGACAAGGCATTCCCAAAACAGTAACAATTTATTCCTGAGAGGCAACATCCAGTAACCCACCGTATGGTGGGAGCTCCATCACTTCAGATTATGAGCCTGTACCATCTACCAGACACTTCATTAAATGCTACAAAATTCAAAGTAAACTGGATTATTTCCTTCCCACCTTTAATCTGCATCCCTAGCAGCAGTGAGCTGAAGTGATAAACTAGCCCTTCACATATACCAAAACTTAACAAAAATCCCCTTAGATTTCTACCTGCTAGAAATTTACAGATCCTCCAGAAGAACCCCAGCTGGATACAGTGAGCAAAGAGGAGCAGGGTAGCATAAAAATCCCTGATTGAATATATTAAAAGCTGCAATGCTGTTCAAATTCTAATGTGCCAAGAGCAACTCCATGCTGATGATCTGTCCCAGCAGCTCTTACTGTGCTTTAAACTTAATATTGGAAAAATAAGCTACTTAAATTTTCCAAAGCACACGGATCTCGGCTCTACAGACAGGTGGGCAGCTGTATATACACAAACAAAAAGCTCAATACCAAGACACAACCTTATGATCACAGGATGAACTGCAACCCCCTTCCACTGAATTTTACTCAATATCTAAAGCCACACTGAGAGCTTCATGGATCCCTGCCACGGCGGGGTGCTGACTTTCACAGCTTGAGTCATCTCAGCCACCACCAGGCCTCCAGATGCAACCAAACATGACCTTCTTGCCTCCAAACACAGTTGCACTCTCCTTAGGGGACAGAGGAGAGGGGAAGGGAGGTTTTCCCTCACTCCCTAATCAGAAGAAGCAGGCAATCTGCAATTTCTGATCTCTCTGACAGACACAGAAGTTGACTTGGAGTTGCGGGGGTGTGGTATGACCCAGAAACTGTCTTTTTTTGCAGGTCCTATTACATACTTCCATCCTACTCACAGGCTGCAGAAGTAAGCCACAAGTTATTAAGTATAAAAGTATATGAAAATTACTTATTATATAGTAATCTAATTCCTCTTTTCATATTGTTGCAATATAATCACATACGCCCCAAAGTTGCCACCAGCAAAGAATTAAACTCCTTAATTTATGACATTGTTGATCTACCACCGAAATTAGTACAATCTAAAAAAACCTGTTATCATTTCTCACTCCTCTATAAAAACATAAAACATATAGAGAACCTTTTCCCATTATGGTTAATATCATAGACAAAGTTATTTCCTGCTTTAGGTCACAGGGTATTTTCTACTTTCTTGAAACTAAGAGCAAATTAAAAATACTATCACAACAGAGAGCAATAACGTACCTTTCAGGTATGTGCTTTGGAATTTCTAGATCAAGTGACTTCAAATGCAGAAGTTTGATCTCTCTTTCCATATTGTTTGCTGCCACAACATCACGGGCAAGTTCATACATGGTTTTTGATAGTTCACAGGCATAGACAAAAGATGCTCCTGCTTTTTTTGCAAACATACTGAAAAACATGTAAAATCATTTTAGGTAAAGCATGGCCAGATACGAGTTGCTCTTAAGTTCTATTTCTGCATCTGCTTTATATTTCTGAGAACACAGTTCAAGCCTAAAAATCATCTAATATGTCTTGTATGAACACCGATATCACACAAATTGGTATCCTCTTGAAATATCTTTTGTTATTCACCAAAAAAAAAAATAAAATACAGGTAGTATAAGGATACTCCACAGCTATGCTAAATGCAGTCTTTATACTACAGTGTTTTAACTAAGAAACTTTCTACACAAAAAACAGCTGCATCAAATAAAAAACAATGGGTTCAAAAATACTATTAGACATTAACTTCCAGACTCAGGGACTGCTGAAAGCTTTATTTCCTTTAAGCTTCGTCTCAAAAAATTAGTGAAAATGCTTGGTTTTTTTCCCCACTACCAACCAAGTTTTGTTTGCCAAAAATATTTCTATTGAGTTCATGTTAAATATGCACTTAGGACACACCTCAAGATTCCTGTTCCTGTTCCAATGTCGAGGACAGATCTGCACCCTGAGCGGACGGCGTTCTCGATGGCTTTCAGGTAGGTGAGGTTCCTCTTGGTATCGTTGAGCATGATGAAGTGCCAGCGTTCCACGAGCCAGTTGGCAACACGGTAGAAGTTCTCCTTTGCGTCAGCAAAGTCTGGGTTGAGCTTCACTGCTTTATGGAAATATCCAGCTGCTTCATCTCTAAAGCCCATTCTAATAGTAAAAACGACAAAAAATAAAAAATAGCATGCATTCAGCTGCCAAGCATCTGTAAATTTCTGTAGATCTACAAAGAGGTTTTATATGAGTTAAAAGACAATGGAAGTATTTTGTATTTGTTAGAAATATTATCTTTAGAAACACTGCTGTTACCTTATGAAAAAGAATGCTTTACAGCTCTACAACAAGTCGCTTCAAAATGCAAAGGAAGTCAAAAAAATACCATTGTACACACCAGTCTTCATCTACTGCTACAACTTTCCACAAACTAGAACAGGTTTTGCAAGAACTTGCTGCAACAACCTGACAGCAGCCCACTCTGCAATCCAGCTTCAGATTTTCAAGTCAAGAGAATACTACAAACTGCAAAACTGTTCTAGAAGGTGCTGTAAACCCTCCAAGTTTTGAGTTGCTTGCTTAAAGTGGCAACTTTGGAACTAAATTGTTAACTTGAAGCAAGTTTTTATGATACCTACAACATATTCTCAAATAAGAGGGCACTAAAACAAACCCCAAAATCTATGAAATGCAACAAACAGGTACATTTGAATACAACGCTGGAAGAGTTTTTCCTTAAAGCAAACAAAATAATCACAAAAAGCAAACCTAATCAAAACTATCCGGACCTAGGACCTATGATTTCAATCTTGAAATTCCGGTCTCAGAAGATCTTAGAACCCTTAGCAACAGCAAAGCATCATGTTTTGCAGTGTTTAGAGAAAGCAGGAACAGAATGCTGTACTCTAATAAAAGCTTAAGCTCAAATCATTTAAGAACAGCCCTACAGAGAAGAACATGCACAACCAGCTTCTTCACTTCAAAGGTCTGTTTTATGTGACTTTAAGAAGGAACAGAATTAAAAGACAGTTTTCAGGAATCTATCAGGAAAGAAAAAAAATATTGTATGTTAACCCTAACTACAGTTAACACAGTGACTGAACAATTCTGGTCTCTTCTGTGTAGTAATTTCTTGATAGATTGTTAGAAAATATTTGAAGGCAGTGCTTTTACCTTATAGTTTTTACTTTAGTAAAAGTGGTTTTGCCTTTTTTTTTTTTGCTGTGACTACCAACATTTATTTTAGCAATGACTATACTATTTGAAGCTGACAAACATCTGAAGTTCAACAGCACACACTACACAGCATTATGTGCATGCTTGCCTTTATTTCCTTTGAGCACATTTTATGTGCTCCGCTGAATTAGGTATTGTTTATTAACATATAATACTAAACATGATCCTTACAAAAGCTGAATATAAAAAAATACCATTGTACACACCAGTCTTCATCTACTGCTACAACTTTCCACAAACTAGAACAGGTTTTGCAAGAACTTGCTGCAACAACCTGACAGCAGCCCACTCTGCAATCCAGCTTCAGATTTTCAAGTCAAGAGAATACTACAAACTGCAAAACTGTTCTAGAAGGTGCTGTAAACCCCCCAAGTTTTGAGTTGCTTGCTTAAAGTGGCAACTTTGGAACTAAATTGTTAACTTGAAGCAAGTTTTTATGATACCTACAACATATTCTCAAATAAGACGGCACTAAAACAAACCCCAAAATCTATGAAATGCAACAAACAGGTACATTTGAATACAACGCTGGAAGAGTTTTTCCTTAAAGCAAACAAAATAATCACAAAAAGCAAATCTAATCAAAACTACCTGGACCTAGGACCTATTATTTCAATCTTAAAATTCCAGTCTCAGAAGATCTTAGAACCCTTAGCAACAGCAAAACATCATGTTTTGCAGTGTTTGGAGAAAGCATGAACAGAATGCTGTACTCTAATAAAAGCTTAAGCTTAAATCATTTAAGAATAGCCCTTCAGAGAACAGCAGCACGACCAGTTTCTTCACTTCAAAGGTCTGTTTTATGTGACCTTAAGAAGGAACAGAATTAAAAGACAGTTTTCAGAAATCTAACAGGAAAAAAAAAAAAAAATTGTATGTTAACCCTAACTACAGTTAACACAGTGACTGAACAATTCTGGTCTCTCTTTTGTGTAGTAATTTCTTGATAGATTGTTAGAAAATATTTGAAGGCAGTGCTATTACTTTATAGTTTTTACTTTAGTAAAAGTGGTTTTGCCTTTTTTCTTTTTGCTGTGACTACCAACATTTATTTCAGCAATGGCTATGCTATTTGAAGCTGACAAATATCTGAAGTTCAACAGTACACACTGCACAGCATTATGTGCATGCTTGCCTTTATTTCCTTTAAGCACATTTTATGTGCTCTGCTGAATTAGGTATTGTTTATTAACATTTAATACTAAACGTGATCCTTACAAAAGCTGAATATCCATTACTACAAACCTGAAAAGATGTTCTCCCATACTATTACATATCACTTCATCGTTCGGATACAGTTCAAGTGCTTGCTCATAACAGTTAAACAGATCTTGAATCCGTGCCAGAGAATCCAGCTCTTCTGCCCATTTAAAGAGAGTAAACTGAAATGTTTCCTAGAAAACAAAATGTGCATCACTGAGTTGCTGGAAGTTACCAGAAGCAGAGAACCGAGCCCTGAAAACATCTAGAGATATTTTGACGTGCACCTGAACACCCTCATTTCTTTAAGCAGCAGCACACAACTGATTGCTACCATCCCAGGTTATTTGGCTCACTTGAAGAAGCAGAAACAAGCTCTTGGATACCCACGCAGGGTATCATCACCCAGCAGTACACACTAAGGGCCTCTGTGTATATTAATGCATGCTGTACTACAAGTCAATACTAATAAGGCTCTACTTTTTATTAAAACTTATTTGACACACACAGGCTAAAAGAGAATTACATTAATTCCCTTCCCACAGGCATACACAGCTTATTAAAGTTACTGGTTCTCCCCATTACGACTGTTTTCTCCTTTATTCTGAAGACTGAACAGGAGAATCAATTACACACAACGAATCACAAGCCCAAAACACATCACAAAGCCTCAAGAGGAATACAGTAAATAAAATTGTTTCAAGTAATTCAAAGAGCACTTACTTTGACACTAGTTTTTAACTCGGGAGCTAGATTTAGTACCAGGAGATAGTGAGCATATGCAGTTCCAAAATCCTGGTCCTCCAGACAATGCTGTGCACTCTGCAAAGACCTGGAAACCAACTCCCTCCTGCCAGCTTCCCGACCACCTCTGTTGTTACAGTGAAGTTTAGCGTTGGAGTTGGGCATTCTGAAGGATGGAAATACTCACTCTTCCTAAAATTAAAAAAAAAAAAAAAAAAATTGTGTATATTGCAGGCCAAAGAAGTTGCACACAAAGCTGACAGATCGATCAACTTTAAAAATAAAAAAAAAAAAAAAAAAAAATTGTGTATATTGCAGGCCAAAGAAGCTGCACACAAAGCTGACAGATGTTTTAATTTTCACTGGCATTAGTAAACACATCCTCCCTCCCTCCCTCCCTGATCCTAAGCATTCAAAACCATCCCTATCTTTATACCATTGATAATTCCATAAAGCAAACAAAATAATCACAAAAAGCAAACCTAATCAAAACTATCCGGACCTAGGACCTATGATTTCAATCTTGAAATTCCGCACTAACTTTAAAATGAGTGTTCATCATTCAAAAGTCAGGTGCGCATCATCCTGGAAATAAGTTACACTTTTTCTCTTTTTAAAATTAGTTTTTGTAACACACAAACTTTTCTGCTTCAACAAAAGCAGCTTCATAAAGTGAAGAACCCCAGAAAAAGAGCCAATGAGCTCTTATTTTACACACAGCAACACAACCATTTTCCCCCCTTAAGAAAACATTAAAGAGTTAATATAATAAATATGTGTGTTTTAATAACTACTTTGGTTACCACTTTTAACTTTTAATGCTTACCTACTTAAGAGAGCCTGATACCACCTTCAGGATCTTCAGGCGCATCCTAGAGCTGAAGAAAGTGAACGTTACATGGGGAGGGACTGCAGGGAGCATGGCACCATCACAGAATCGCCTAGGTTGGAAGGAAACTTTAAGATAATCTAGTCCAACCATCAATCTGACAAAAAAAAAAAAAAACAACAACACAAAAAAACCCAAAAAAAAGAAAAAAAAAAACAAACCACAAAAAAACCCAAAAAAACCCCTACCAACACTAAACCATATTCCTGAGCACCATGTCAACTCGTCTTGTGAATATCTCCAGGGATGGTGCCTCAACCACTTCCCTGGGCAGCCCATTCCAAAATGCTTGCTAGCCCTTTTAGTGAAGAAATTTTTCCTAATATCCAACCTGAACCTCCCCTGGAGCAACCTGAGGCTGTTTCCTCTTGTCCCATCACCTGGGATTTGGGAGAAAAGACCAATCTCTGCTTCTCTACACCCTCCTTTCAGGGAGTTGTAGGGAGCGAGAAGGTCTCCCCTCAACCTCCTCTTCTCCAGGCTGAACACCCCCAGCTCCCTCAGCCTCTCCTCACAAGACTTGTGCTCCAGACCCTTCACCAGCTCCATTGCCCTTCTCTGGTAGGCGCTTTTTTTCTCGAAAAAAACCAACCCCAAACATCGGCCACATCTCAAGCCAGCACCAGCAATTTACGCAGGACCCCGCAAAACCTGGGAGAGCCGTGCAAACCCGCCTGGCCCTACGGACCCGGGGTCTGGGGAGGGATGGGAGGCTGAGAGGCCGAGGGGCCTGGCTCCCACCGGCGGGAAAGCCTGGCAGGCCGCAGCACCTCCAACACACTTCCCCGCTCGCCGGACGAGCCCCAGAGCCGCCGAACCGGGCAGGGCGGTGGGGGGTTTGCTCTGAGGCTGGGTTAGGAAGGGGGAGGAATACGGGAGCTCCCGGGGCCATCACCTGCTCGGCGCCGAACGGGGCTCCCACAGAGCTGAGGCGCACGCTGCCGGCCGCCGCCATCTTGCTGCCGGGCGGAAGTCAGCGCGCACGCGCGGGACGCCTTTCCCGCCCTGGGGGCGCGGCCGAGCCCTGAGGGGAACGATGGGTTCCCCCCGCTCAAGGACCCCTCTAGTCCCCACAAACCCTCCCCGGTAGGTCCAGAACCCTCTTCCCAGAACCCTAAGAACCTAACGCGGGATTGCCCGCAGCGAGATTAAAGAAAAATCTTGCTGAAGCTTTATTTCCCTTCGGTTTGTGACAAGAGGTGACCCACCTGGGGTGGGTGGGTGGGTGTGGTGTCTTCCCCCCGCCCCCCAAACTTTTTTCCACAGTTTTAAGGCGTGGAGGTTCACTTATTTTTATCTTTTATTTCCTTAAAGGAGATTTACATGTTTTAAAAGCCAATGAAAAAAAAATGCATGCCAGAACCTAGCGTTAGAGAAAAGCTAGTGCTTTGGAAGGTGAAAAGAAGGAGGCACTGTGCAACTAATAGAAGTCATAATTTTACTGGTAAGTAGAAGTACAGACAAGGACTCAACTTTTTTTTTTTTTTTAATGCTAGTTTAGCTCCTTTCTTTCCAGGTGAAATATGGTGAATTGACTAAAAACTGTTTTACGACTTCTTCCTACAGAGGTGGGATAAAGGTATTTTCATCTTCCACGTTCTTTCTCCATCCACACTCAGTCTGTTAAAACTGGTGACTCAGCTCACACAATCACAGGACTAGAAGTGACCCGCAGCAATGCTAAATCCAGTCCCTTGCTGTTCTTTGCTCTTTTCAGACCTGCTAAAAACCACCACCTTCAAACAGATCTAATGCAAGAACCACATGCTGTGTGCAGGCACTGCCCTGTGGTCACGGTGTTCCTAACATTTAGTTTTAATTCCAGTGTTGGAAAGTCCCAAGAACAACACCTGAGGACAACATTCACACCGCCTAGTGTTTTTTTTTTTTAAATCATAGTGTCCCGCCAGTCTTGGACCTTTGACTAACAACTTGGCTCTGCTGCAACAAAGGTTGTGAGGAGCAAAATTCAGATCTTTGCTCCACGTCTGCAGTCCTTTATCTTGCTCCCTCCCATGCCTGTGACACGACTGTGACCACAAACTGGCAGATAAAACTTTCTAGGACTCAATGTAAAGCTTATAAAGCAGGCATTCTTTATTGCGGCACCGGGTGGGCAGGGGATGGCTCCTCCTATTGTGCACACTGAATGCTCTTGTCACTTTAAATTTATACACAGCAGGGATACATATTCAATGTGATCCCAAGAAAACAGCAGCATATTCATTACATTTCTGAGAATTCATTTACATATTATAATAAGCTTTTGGGCATGTGTAGTTGTGCCTTCTGGTGGTCCTCATTTTGAGTGAGGGTCGTTTCTTCCTCAGTCTTCATCTTCTTCACCTGTCCTTTGGCTCACTTTTCCAGTTGGCAAGACATTCTAACTGCTTAATTGGTCATTAAAACTCATGATCTCCCCACTAACACCTGTTTGTCAGACAATGCCCATATTTATTGCATCCCTGTCTTAGGTCACCACGTATCTCAGGGTCTGTCCTTTGGCTCACTTTTCCAGTTGGCAAAACATTCTAACTCCTTAATTGCTCATTAAAACTCATGATCTCCCCACTACCACCTGTTTGTCAGACAATGCCCATATTTATTGCATCCCTGTCTTAGGTCACCATGTATCTCAGGGCCACAGCCATCCTTTCTTACCTTACTAAGTCCTTGAAAGCATTTGGGATGGTTGCCAAAATAGCTACATTTCTTCTCGAAAAGAAAATTCTCTGCAGTTTAACCGCTTAGAAACTACATAAAATCTGCCTTAGGTATCACGACTTACCTTCTTTCTCTGTGCTGCCCAGCAGGCTGCCTGCTCTGGGCAACAACCACACGCAGGGCCCTGGAGTGCAGATCTTTTCTAAAAAAGGCAGAGTTCATTTGGTCTTGTCCTACTTCTGGGACAAGAACAGGCCACGGCATTGTTTACTAATTATGAAATGTCTGGAAGCTGTTCATCTTTACTTTCTTTCTCTAAAGCATGAAAGCAGCTCTTCCAGGCTTTTACAGCTGTGGATATTGCATATGCCTTCACTTTTGAGAAACATTAAATGAGTAGCACTTAAAAATGTCAGGCCAACATTTTGAACAAGATGAAAATAGCACGCATGGAAGGAGAACATGAGTCTAAATGAAACACAGTGGCAGTTAAGCTGTAATCCACAGCAAACTTACTATTCTATAATATTATAAGAGGGAGGAAACCTACAAATGTTTTGAGAGAAGGGACCCAAAGGAAAAAACTGAGAACAGGTGACCTGAACACCACTAGAATCAACTCTTGATAGAGGAAAGACACGCTAGAAAAACGTAAAATAAGAATTGGTAAAGCACTTGGGCTGGATGAAGTCCACGAGGATGTGCAAATACCAGTGTCAGAAAGTTTATCAAATATTTTATATGTGAACTGAGTTTTAAAGGAGGATGTAATATCTTACTAAATCATCTGGTATCAACAAACACCCAAGCCTTCCTTCAGTTTTGAAAGAAAAGCTATGAACTTTAAATTAGTTGCAGATGGGGAACAAGCTTCTTTGGATTTAGTTTAATTATGCTTCCCAGCTAGAGGATGATAGTATGGGGGAAAAGAAAGTATTAGCACCTGTGGGATATGGAGAGAGAAAAAAACCCCAAACAACAAAGTACAGGCAATTATCACCCATGGACAGTGAGGTGGAACAGGAGCTGGACTGTAACAATTACTGTACTGAGACACTATTTCTCTAGCTCCATGATTTTCCAGACTTGTTCAGCTGTTTATTTGGTTATTTTTTTGTCAGAGTGAATGCCAGATGGATAGCATAAATGCTTTACAGTGCTTATTTTAAGCATAAATTAAGTAGTACTGTGTGCTAAGTCGACCCATTTGTGGGAGAAGATTACTAAAAAGTGTGAGTTGTAAAATCCTCACAATTTGCACGAATCACTTCAGTTCAAAGGCTGGGGAGGATATTTGTTAATCTCATACTCACAACTTTTTAATGGAACGTTTCAGAGCAAAAAAAAGTGGCCACGGAGTATAATGTTTTCCACACTGAAAGAGCATCCAGCTGCAAACTGTAATAATTAATTAGGTAAGGATTGTGCTGTAAAGGAGTGCCAGATAGGAACGCCCATCCTATCAGATATAGACACGATTGCCATAATAATCATCAAATTGATTGACAGTAGAATAATTAACGTTGGTCTGCATCATGGGTGGTCAGAGATTAGTCTGCTGCTCGTTGCACTCTTGATGGATGAGAGGAGAGGGAGCGTGCAGCCTGGGGGTACCTCACGTATGTGTAAGGCCCCTAACATCTCACAGGCCAACAGTGATGAGCAAGATGGGAGCCAGAAGGACACCCTATAAACCTTCTACAAACTCATGAGAGACACTTTTCTCCTAACAGAGGTAAAAGTGCTTAGACAAGAGAAGAAATAATACCTTGGAAGGATGCTTTTGCTAATGACGTTTTCAACAACTCAACACAGCTGAGTGTTGCAAATGGTATCAATGCTCTGTAATAAAACGACAATAAAACTGAAAGTTAAATTCACTAGTTTCTAACCCATCTCTCCATAACAGATGGAGTGCTTAGACAAGAGAAGAAATAATACCTTTAAAGGATGCTTTTGCTAATGACCTTTTCAACAACATGTTGCAAATGGTATCAATGCTCTGTAATAAAACGACAATAAAACTGAAAGTTAAATTCACTAGTTTCTAACCCATCTCTCCATAACAGATGGATTGATCAGCAAGAGATGAGAACACTGTCTTTCATGAAAATCAGGACGCTGAAGTCATCAGACAAGAAGGTAAGATGTAAGGACACTTACACTACGCCAATGTTATACCTATTGCATAAAATGACTTCCTTGCAAGGAATGTCAAGGGAAAATAACCAAAGCAAAGATAAATACACGGTATGTGGACAGGACGTTGCCAGAACTTCACATAATCAATCTATGTCACAGTCTTTTAAAAGAAGCTACAAGGCAGCTGTAAATTTAGGTGACCTGGAGTAGGGGGTGGCAGAAAAGAGGACAATTTTCTAAACTGCTGATATAAAAACACTTCTAGCCTTAATTAGTGAAGCAAGTGCAACTCATTTATTGCTCATTAGGTAAGTAATGTCTGTCCATTTTAATTAATGGGTTATTATTTCTCTTCACTCTTCCATCTCAGGTTTTCTTTTTTTAAAGATGGCAGAAAAGAGGACAATTTTCTAAACTGCTGATATAAAAACACTTCTAGCCTTAATTAGTGAAGCAAGTGCAACTCATTTATTGCTCATTAGGTAAGTAATGTCTGTCCATGGATTGATCAGCAAGAGATGAGAACACTGTCCTTTATGAAAATCAGGACGTTGAAGCGATCAGACAAGAACGTAAGGAAGGTAAGATGTAAGGAAACTTACGCTACGCTGATGTTACACCTATTGCATAAAATTACTTCCTTGCAAGGAACAACAAGGGAAAATAACCAAAGCAAAGATAAATACACGGTACGTGGACAGGACGTTGCCAGAACTTCACATAATCAATCTATGTCATAGTCTTTTAAAAGAAGCTACAAGGCGGCTGTAAAATTAGGGGACCTGGAGTAGGGGATGGCAGAAAAGAGGACAATTTTCTAAACTGCTGATATAAAAACACTTCTAGCCTTAATTAGTGAAGCAAGTGCAACTCATTTATTGCTCATTAGGTAAGTAATGTCTGTCCATTTTAATTAATGGGTTATTATTTCTCTTCAGTCTTCCATCTCAGTTCTTTTTTTTTTATATCACAATTCTGACATTTCAGGATCCGACAATGTTTTGAACTGGTGGGTCAGGTTTAGGAAAAGATATATATATATAATAATTTTGGTGGTGGGAATCCAGTATGTTGTCTGGATACCAACACTGGATAAATAGAGTATCATATCAACACAGCAGTGAATTTGCTTCCTTGCTTTATTGTGTAAATACAAGTTAACTCTTTTTATTCTGGGAAAAGCACGTTATGTGTATGTGTGTATTCCTGTTGGACTGCCGCCATTCCTTTTACCTGCAACTAGAATGGAAAACATTTTTACTTCACGTGATTGAGGTGGGGGGACCAATTTCCCCTAATGGGCCTGTCATGGTAGAAAAAAATCTAAATTTTATACCTGGTATTTTTTTTGCCAGCTAAAAACTTCAGGGCTAAGCTAAACATTCACTTTTTTTTTTTTTCCTTTTAAATTTGAATACAAGCAACTCCACACAATGCAAGCAACCCAATTACAGATGTGAGGGTGATCTGGCTGCGACCCCTGTCACCCCATTGATGGCCAGGGTTGGTTCTGCTGATCTGGTGGGTGTCCCCTTCCTCCCTCACCCCTCCTGAAGCTGCATGCTGGGTCAAAGAGGACAACCTTCCCCGATAGACACGTACCCTTCATCGGTCAAGGGTGCAGGGCACCTGAGTTCCCCTGCTAGAACCTCCAAACGAGCTCAATTACTTTACAACACTCCAGTGGAGGTGTAATAGGGAAGTTACAGTAACTATAAACAAGCATTAAAAATATTATTCTGATTTGAATCCCAAAGACAACTACAGGACAAAGTAAACAAACTACTCACGGAAGGCATACCTACTCTTAAAATGCTGTAATCTAAACAGAGATAAGGACTGTTTGTTGTTTCTTTTAAGATAGGGTTGGTTGGTTTTTTTAAAAAAAAATCTTTTTAAACAGAGTTTTGAGTAGCACAGTAATTTCTCAGTTAATTAATATTAGAAAACAAATCTCACAGCAGATAATGTGATCTAGCAGGTGGGACACTTAGCTGGAAGGCTGAACGTTGAGGGTCTGTTCCCAGTAGCACCTCCTGGCCTGCTGTGATTTCAGACAGGTCAGCTGCACTTTCAAGTCGCAGATGATTCGGAGGGGCCACACTCCTATTTAAGACTATTTTCAGGAACTGTGATTACTCCTGGGCCTCTCTGCCCACCTCTTTCTTCACACACTTGTATTTTCATATTTTCCTCATCTACATGAACAACGAGGACATAATCTTTGCCTTTGATCACAAAAATCCGTGCTTACTCACCTGGGCTCCGTGTTGGGAGGGTAACACACCCCCCAGTCTGGTCTCTGAAGCAGACTTTCAAGTGGATAGTTGTTAAAAAACCCTAAATGTTGCAAAATTGAATCCTGCTGATTGCACAAACAGGAATTATTTCAAATGAGATGGCTTAAGTGCCTGCCTACTTCCATACGTGACTTCTGCAGGTTGGTGCCTGGTGTCGTATGCAGGGGGGTTGATAGCAACACTGCCAGCTGTCTTCCTCTCATCAGTCATTTCTAGAAATCTTAAGTGCTACTTTTTAAGAAAAAGAATAAAGTAGCTTTTTTTTTTTTTTTTTTTTTTGTGGGTTTTTAAAATGTAAAC